AGGACTACTCCCTATGAAATTATGGGGGTCAATTACATTCAAATCACCACACCCACTCTTCTTTGAAAGCCCTCTATTGCTTCCCATTCCTGCTCAGATAAAACCCAAGCTCTTTGGTACACCTGGCCCCTTAAGGTCTGATGCCCACTCCTCTCTTCAACCTTGCTCTGTCCCATTCCCCTTTATCACCAAGCTCCCTCCATGCTCACCATCCCAGCTTGGTGCTTGCTCTCCTTGGAGACACTCCAGACTGGAACTTTCCTCTTTGGATCCCTGCACGTCTGCCCCTTTCTGACCATGAAAAAAAAAAACAAACCCATTCCTTCCTCAAAAAGGCCACAGCTGTAGGGCCACACTGTGCAGGTACCTTGTCTGTATTTTGTCCCCAGTAGATTTTTTATTGGCACACTTATCTTACAGCCTCTTACAGCCAGAATATGAGAGCCATGAGAGTTGGGGACTTTGTTTTGCCACTTACCTGTGACCAGGGTCCAGGTCGGTGCCTGTCATGTAAAAGGCATGAATATGGTATTGGGTGGGTGAACGGTGGCAACACAAAGAAACCTATCAGCAGAATGAGGCTGTGTATGAGAGGCACCCAGAGCAGATCGGGCAGGCATTCCCTGTGCCCCAATCCTTCTCTTGGTCAAGGTCGAGTTCTCCCTGGTCCTGCTGGTCAGGCACTGCCCCACCCCTTCTCCTCAGTACCCATCCTCACAACTTGCCTGCTGCCCTGCTTGGGCCCGGAGCCACTGTGCCCTCTTTCTGGGCGGCATTGTGAGATGTCTTCGTCCTTTGTGTAGAGCATGTTTCTACTGAGTTATCTGGAGAGACATGCCCATGAAAGCGGGCTTCTGGGTACCAGGTGCTATACTAAGCCGTGTTTGTATATGATGTCACTTAATTCCTGTATTTTCCTACAAATAGGGTCGTTTCATCGTCCCCCTGGGAACTGCAGCTCAGCAGGTCGCATGGCTTTCCAGAGCTTGTCAGACACAAGCCCCCAGGGGGCTGCTGGCCCCTCAGAGGAACTGAGGGTGCTTAGAGCAGGGCAGGAGTGTGGAGAAGGGGGAGACAGGCTTATGAAATGAGAAGTACTTCCTAACAGTTCTGGTTAGGAACAGTGAGAGGCTGTGCCTTCGGGGGCTGCCTGGGGCACCGGTGGAACATGTGCGTGTGTGTGTGTGTGTGTGTGTGTGTGTGTGTGTGTGTGTGTGTGCGTGTATGTGTGTGTGTGTGTGTGTGTGTGCTTGGAGGAACTCAGGCTGTCGGGAACAAGGCAGCTGTGTTGGGAGAAGCAGAGTTTGGGGTCAGATGGAGATGAGGCAGGATGGCCTGCAAAAAATTTTATTTATTTTTAATGAATTAATTAATTTGTTAGAGCTGAGAAGCCGTGAGCTGGTGGGTGTCTCCAGGGGCTGCTTGGGAGGAGCTCGAGCATCATGTGTTTCAGGGCTCCGTTTGACACCCAACCGTGGATTCTCCTGGCCATGTGCTCAATGTGGATAACTTAGCCTCTCTGAATTCCAGTTCCTTCAGTTATAAACGGGGTCACCAGTGCCTGTCTCAGCAGTTATGGTGTGCACAGCTTAGCAGTGGCATAGTGCCGTCCATATTCTAGATATTCTATAAGTACTGTGGTTTATATGTGGACTTCTCCACCCTAGGCTCACAGGTTTCAACAGTTGATAAATCTCTAGGCAATGGCACTGTTTGAGAAGGTTGTAGACCATTTAGGTTATGGAACCTTTAGGAGGCTCAAGAGATACCTGCTCTAAGTACTACAAGGCAGCCAAACTGGAGGCATTTCTTTCTCCAGGATGGTAAGTTTACATTCATTATTTGTGGTGTGGATATTTAAGTTTTAGAAAACATTTAAAATTTTTATGTACATGAAGAGTGTTTTCCCCACATGTATGTCTTTATATCACATGCATGCCCAATGCCTGTGGAGGCCAGAAAAGTGGGTCAGATCCCCAGAACTGAAGTTACAGCTGTGAGCCACTTTGTGGGTTCTAGAATTTGAACTCTGGTCCTCTGCAAGAATAGTCAGTGCCAAGACTGCCGAGTTGTCCTTCCAGCCCCTGTGGTCTGGAAGTTTGCTCATGTGAAATTTGTCTTCAATATCAAGGACCCCATGTCAGTGTCAAATCAAATAAAACAAGCCAGCATCCCTACAACAGACCTCCCTTCCTGGCATTTCCAATCCTCTGATACCGTGACACCACCCTGTCCTTGTCATTCACAAAGCCCATTTTCAGGAACCATGTGACCTCATAATGTTTTAAGTGAGATTGTAACTTTGTGCTGGGCTTGTCCCATAGCTATTCTCGGTCACGTGCGAAGTGTGCACGTGCCTTAGGAGACGGTGGAGTCTGTATTTTTTGAATCTCAGTCTTCCTGAACTTTGTAATCATTTCAGGGAATGCTGGGGCAGCTGATGCTCTCTGGCATGTTTCTCTCTTCCCACCTGCCCTGAGCCCACAGGCTCTAAACAGGCAGCTAGATGCATGGAAGAACCTTCTGGTGGAAGGTAACCCACACGAAATCCTGTTATAGCATTGGTAATCACTAGCCGTTTCTCAGGTGGCCCTTGGTGCTGGGTCTGCTGGCTGTATGAGTGGGAAAGGCAATGCAGGATCTAGAAACAGTTAGACCCTAAGCAGCCATACTCTTTGCTGGGGTGGGAGACCTGTGTTCATTGCCTGGAGGCATAGGATTCACTTCAGTCTTCCTCAGGCAGACTGACAGTTCAGGAGGCTAGTCTGATTGGCTATGACATCAGGCATCCATCATTGTGGACAGCATGGACCTCCCAACATCTTCACAGTAGACCAGAGGAAGAGCAAGGCACTAGCTTAGTCCCTGTGGTTCAGAATCAAGAAACATGATATTTAAGAAGCTGAGGCAGGGATCCCAACAATTGGGATTCCACACCTTTAATTCCAGCATTAGGGAGATAATGTGGGATTCCTCTCTGTATGCTGTGAATATCATTTGTTAATAAAGGAACTGCTCTGGGCCTATAGCAGAGCTGTAGGGGAACAGAGCTAGGCAGGAAAAACTAAATGGAATGCTGGGAGAAAGGAGGTGGAGTCAGAGAGAAGCCATGGAGCCCCTGCTGGAGACAGACGCTGGGAACTTTATCCAGTAAGTCACAACCATGTGGTGATACACAGATTAATGGAGATGGGTTAAATTAAGATGTAAGAGTTGGCCAATAAGAAGCTATAGCTAATGGGCCAAGAGGTGTTTTAAATAATAGTTTCTGTGTGATTATTTCGGGGCTAAGCAACCAGGAACTAACTAGCGGCCCTCTTACAACAGGGAGGTGGAGACAGGAGTGATATGGCTGGGCAGTGTGAGGAATATAAGGTGGGAGGAGACAGGAGCTCATTGCAGTCTGAGGACGCAGTCTGACGACAGGATCACCCTTTTGGTCTAAGGACTCGGTAGAGGTAAAAGGTCTCTCTAGTGACTTGACTACACCGCTTCTCTGATCTCTCAGCTTTTACTGACTAATATTTGACTCCGAGTTCTTATTATAAAGACGAATTAGAATTTGTGTTACATCTGGTGCCCAACTTTTGAGGTAGATATTCATGGAAAAGCTACCTGCCTGTGACTTTGCAACCACCGGCATAGGCTGGAGCTACCTGCAGCCAGAGTCACCGCCCTGCTGGTTAGGTTTTCTTTCTTCTCTCCTGATGGGCATTCCCTGGGCTGCCTTCTCAGGCTGCTACCAAACTATGTAGCTGCCTTGAAATCTGGTCAGGCTTCTACTGTTCTGAGGAGCAGCAATAAACCTCACATCTTCATCATCATCGGTGGCAGATTTGGTGAGAAGATTGAGAATTCTTAAAGGGAGAAATTAGTTAAAAGAGGGATTTTTTTTTCTCATGTTAAAAAAATGGGAAACACAATTATGATGGAGGAAGTTAGGTGTCTGTATGATTACATAATGCATTATTTAAATATGGAACAGTTAAATGAAGGGATAATCAACTTAACCCAGATTGATATAATGTTATCATTTTGATTGTCCTTGCTGTTTTTGATAATTCTTGGTTTATCTCTTAAAAAGTTGTTTGGTATGAATGCCAAAATACAAGCTTTAGGAAATTTAATAAAACAGATCATAGAGATATTCAAATCCAAGCAGAGGAATTTAATGGAGAACCCATTTCAGAGTTGTATTATAAGGTTAGAGAGGAATAACCTATGGTTTTCAAACAACCAACCTCAATATATCCAGTAACCTTACAGGAATTGCCCAATAGTTGATATCCCCAAGACTCTGTAAGAGCCAAATGGACTCCTGTGACAATGTTAGATTTAAGAAGACCCAGGGAAGTCTCCTATGGCATGCATTCACCTTTTGTGAAGTAAATATAAAAAAAAAGAAGCTGAGGCAAGGCAGTTCATATAGATTAGCAGCTGAGCTGTGTGTGGACGGGTTTGTTCAGGGCTCAGAGAGGGCTGTAGTACAGGAGGGTGCCCTTCTGCTACCATCTCTGTCAGGCCAGACTGGGACAGAGTCTTGCAGGGGAAAGTAGAAGGAACCACAACAGGGTCAGACTCAGAAGACAGTGCTAACCCATTCTTCCTCCCCTTCCACTGTGTGCTCTGGACTGTCAAACACATCCCACTTAGTTTTGGGTAGATGAGCATTGCAGGTAACTAGTGTCACCAATGGACCGTCCTATTGCAGTGCGGAGGGTTTGAGGGAATCCGTCATTTAGGCTTTATTCTAGAGAGGTCAGGTTTGCAGGCAACTGTGTACTAGAACCAAGTGGCTTAAGAAAATTTTCTGGGTCGGGTCCCAGGGCTGCTGAATGGCACCCTGGAGGTGTGGCCCGAGCCTTGCTGCTGCTGCAGGACCACACTTCAAGTACCCAAGGGTAGCTACATCTTTGCAGTGCTTGGAATGTAAATGATCAAGTCTACCATTGCTATAAATATGTTTTACTCATAGGCTTGTTTTGTCTCTTTTTAAACAGGTATTTTGATGTTGGACTACACAATTTCTTGATCAGGTAAGCCAGTACCTTTTGTTTTAGCTCTGACTGAATAGTGTATCTATTATGGATGGAGGTAAAAGGGGAAAGCCTTAGCAAATGAATTAGTAGTTGAATTATTTGCCAGGAGAGCATTGCTAACACTATGTGTTTGTTCATCACAATCTCACATAAATAATCACTCAGAGCTGTTTCTTTCAGAAGTGAGAGTTAACTGTCTTTGTTAGTTTTCTGTTGCTGTGATAAAACATTGGCTAAAAGCAACTTGGGAAGGAAAGGGTTTATATAAGCTTGCAATCCCACTGTCAAAGGAAGCTAAGGCAGGAACCAAAGCAGGGACCATGGAGGAGCCAGCTTACTGGCTTCTTCTGGCTTCTTCATTTTGCTTTCTTATACAGTCCAGGCTGATCTGCATGGGATGGTACTGCCCGTTATGGGCTCAGTACTCCTATGGCAATCTGCAATAAAAAAAATGTCCTTTCTATAGACATGTCCAAGGCTGATTTGATTTAATGAGTCTTCTCAAGGGTATCAAGTTGACAGCCAGAATTAGCCATTACATTTACCAAGGTCTTACTTCCATATACTAGGCCACTGGAAAGATGAATAGAAAAAATGAGCTTTATTGGCTTGTTTTAGATGTTCATTTGACCAATTATCTCCCATTAAATTTAATATTTTAAAACTAAACCTATCATTTGTTTTACAGTCATGGAGATATAACCTAGTACATAATTGAGATTATAGACAGCAATTTATAACTTAAGTTTATTAGTGATTTTGCCAGAGCTGTATTATGGAACATATTAATTTCACATAGCTATGAAATTAAACAAATTAAGTGAAAATAAATATATCAGAAATATTGGCTGTGCTTATAAAATATATAATTTTGAAAATCAACTCTGCGGTTACAGAGAGGGCTCAGTGGTTTAGGACACTTGTCGCCCTTGCAGAAGTTCTGGATTTGGTTCCCAGCACCTACCTGGGGGCTTACAAGCATCTGTAACTCCAATTCCAAGGGATCTAATGCCTTCCTCTGGATTCTGTGGGTACCAGGCACACACCTGGTATACATACATACAGGCATGTAGGCAAAATATACATATAAAACAATGAATTTTTTAAAAATCAATTTTTCTGTGTTTTCTAACTTTTTCATAGTAATCATTGTTCTTCTAATAATGTTAAAAATAACTGAAATGCCTCTCAAAAGTGTGTGAGAGAAAAACAGTTGCTGAGGACCCACTGTAGATGGGAGGCTGTGAGGGAACCAGCCATCAGCGGGAGAGTTTTGCTTTCTGTAAATAAGGGACTCTCTCATGTTAATTGATTCTGAAAGTTTGTTAAAGTCTAGTCACTGTGGCTTTTGTGTATGCCACGTGGTGGTTCAGCTTGCCACAAGGCTTGACCTCTCCCCTATTGCAGCTGATGGAAGAACATCACTTGTAGTGAACCAGTGGCCCACGATGCTAAAACCAGACTGCAGAGGGTGCAGAGGAACAGCAGTGGCTCCTCTCATGTTTTGCACTGAGAGGAAAGAGAATAGTTGGTGCAGAGGGCCGACTGTGTGGCTTTTACTATTTTTTTTTCAATGAGAAAATGCTTTCTAGCCAGAGGAAGATCTAAAGCTCTTTTTACACATAGAGAAAGCTACAGTGGCATCTTGCAGTGGTCAGTGGCTCTGCAGTGGAAGCTGCAGTGTCCTCTCATGGCGGTCAGTGGCCCTGCAATGAAAGCTGCATTGTCCTTTCATGGTGGTCAGTGACCTGCAGTGAAAGCTGCAGTGTCCTCTTGCAGTGGTCAGTGGCCCTGCAGTTCACCAGAGAGGGGTGGCATTTTTCTGTAAATACAGCCTTAAAGGAAATCTCATGGGCCTAGAAGAGAAAGAGCTTGTACTCGAGGATTCTTTTCAAGGGGAAATGTAGCTCTCCTTGTGAAGGAAGGTGTGTAGAAGGGATTGGCTCCACCACTGTTTGTTTCTGTTCCTAGAGCCATTTCCTGGCTCCAGCAAACTCCTTGAGTTGTCAGGTTCTCTCAGATGCTCAAGGTTGGCATAAAAGAAAGTGCAGCTTGCCCGATTAGTCAGCTGTGGCTTTGACGTGGATGGTGGCAATGTTGTCTACCCTGGACTGATATAAGTTTCCCCAGAGCCCATTCTGTGATCTGAGCTGAAGGACAAGCTTCCTTGTCAATGCAGGTGTGGCACAGGGCTCAGACAGGACGGGGTAGTCACACGGAAAACATGAGTGTTTTTGTCTGGGTGTTTTATGACGACTGCAGGAAAGCAGTGGGCTCCGTCCTTCTTTGTTTTACAAAAATCAAAGGGAGGCCTTTCAGGAGGCGGGAGCAGCTGTCGCCAGAGAGCCCCAGAAGACACTGACTGGACTTATCATGTGTCACTGCAAAGGGAAATGGGAAAATGACCAGCTTGGCAAAAATACTATAGCATAGAATGCCTTTGTCTCATTGAAGACACTAGGCTGGCGTGTTTAAATTTAGTTTAGTCTGGCTTTGGCAAGAAACTAAGAAAGATTTGTAGTTAAAGCAAATTTTAGCCTTGCAGTTTTGTCTTATCTAGAATTATAGATAGACCCCTCCCCCTTTCTTTTAAGGATCTTGTCATGTTGCCTGGGCTGGCCGTGAATCCCTGGATGAAAGCAATCCTCCTGTTTTAGGTGGGACCTGAGTAGCTGGGACGACCGATGTGTCTGTGCTGGATTATGGCCCCATCCCTTCAAGGCAAGTGATACACAGTAACTGTGACTGCTCATCTCATCATCACTGTCAATTGATGGGATTCGGAGTCACCCAGGAGACATCTCTGGGCATCTGAGAGGTCTTTCCGAGGAATGGGGCCATTGCTGTGGTCAACCTGGTCACACTGTCCTTAGATCTTTGGAATTGTCTTGTGGCAGGGCTGTAGAAGCATTTGGAATTATGGGCTAGAGAAGATCTGGAATTTGGTATGCAGAGGTTAATGGGTCATTCCAGTGGAGTTTGGAAGGGCAGACGTCGTATCTTGACGTTTCCTACACTGAACAATTTAGTTTACTACTTTTGAAATTAAGTTCACTCAGTTTCTCAGGATGTAGGCGGAACTCAGCCAGACGTTGTCAGAACAGTACTTAAGTGGCCTCTGACCTAGCTCCCAACACAGCCCCTGTTCCCCTTGGGACCCTCATGGTCACATTGGTCTGCATTTCTCCTGGTAATCTGCAAATCCTCAACACTGTGCCTGGAAGCTGTGGGGCTTGAAAAGACTGGTTTTACCTGCAGAAGCAGAGTCACTGGTGTAAGTGTGTCTATCCTGTCCAACTCCAGCCCATCCTTGATGTCCCCTCCATGCAGCCTCTCTCCAGGCCCCTGTGGGCACTGATTACAAAACTTTCTGACCACAGAGTCTCCCGGCAAACTTTAGACCCTACACTCTGCTCCTGCAGAGCTGGGGGGAGCAGCAGGTCTGTGCAGATGCCTGGGTGACTTTTGTGCTCAGGGATGTGTGGAATTTGTACTTTTAAATATAGGGCTGTGTGTGTGTGTGTGTGTGTGTGTGTGTGTGTGTGTACATGTCACACATCCTCCTAGACAGTGAGTGAAGTTTCACTTATCTGTGTAGTCCCCAGCTCCCACAGTGCCCAATAGCTACAAGTCCCTCAAAACTGTTTGAACCAATTTTAGTTTTGAAAACTATATAAGTATTAAGTTTTTTGTTTACTTTCTGTTTACTTATTGTTTGTACAACCATGTGAGGTGCTGAGACAAGACAGGTAGTGGCCCATCTTAGTTCCATTCCATACAGCAAACACTCAGCAATAGGGTGATTCAGGGATTGTCACCAAGTCAAGGCACAGAGAGTACATGCTGTGTGGTTCAATATGGAGAACATGAATTAGACTCACAGAAGCAGACAGCGGACAGTGGTTGCCAGGGCTGGCCGAAGCCAGAGCTTCGTGGTTCCAACCAGCAGGTAGAATGCTCAGTACCACAAGATGATTGAGTTCTAGAGATTTGCTTTGCAACCAAAAGTTTTAGTCAACAGCCCTGTGCTCGGGAGTCTATTGAGAGGGTAGATCGCACGTGAAGTTTTTTACACCAATAAAAACTTGAAAATGGGGAATCTATAATAGCAAGCAAGCAAGCAAGCAAGCAAGCACTGTAACTCCATGATGTGTTGGAGGGCACAGGCCTGAGCACTGGTGTTTTCAGGATGGCAGTGAGGCCTCTCTGGGGCAGTGGGTAGCTCTAGGTTGTGAGATGGGCAAGGAGAACGTAAAACCAGGAGGTGGTCTGAACTCAACTGCTCCAGGCAAAGGGAAGGTCACCCCACACTGGAGGAGGAACTGAAGGGAACCCTGGGGCTGCAGGATGGGGGAGCATGGAATCTACACTGGCCAGGGAGAAGAAAGTGTGGCCGGAGTGATAAAGTTTAAAGAACCACTTTAAATGCCACATTGAGTCTGGTGGGGCATGCCTGTGATCCTAACATTCTTAAGGCTGAGAGGCTGAGGCAGGGGGATCGTAAGTTTAAGGTTGGACTGGTCTGTGTGGGGGAGATTCTGTCTCAAAACAACTAGGAACAAAAGATGCCAGAGGAGCTGTGGAGGTGGAGGGAGTTCAGGTAGGGAGGGACCTGATTGGACATCCGTTTTTCGGAAGTCAGTCTGACAGACTTTGTGAGAAGTTCTGTGTTCTTCCCGGGAGCTGGTGCTGAGGTGTCCAGCTGGTGTCTGCCCCTGAAAGAGACAGCAGAGGCCCTGGAGCTATTCAGGTTAGGCAGGAGTAACCCAGAACTACCATCTGTCTCACTGCCGTGTTTGCTTGTGTCGGAGTAACCTGACTTACCAACACTTGTGAGAGGCAGTTCACAGACAGTGGACCACAGTAGCATTCTCTAGGGTATGGGCAGCTGCCCTGGTACCGGGGCTTGGACACACACACACACACACACACACACACACACACACACTTTCTTCTCATAGCAAGTAACCCTGTCTCCAGACCTCTCAGCAAGCCTG